CGCAGCGCGCCGCGGGACAGGCGGAGCGTGAAGAAAGCGCAGCCGCTCCAGCTGCTCAGCCGCCGGGCAGGCGCTGACGGCGCTCCACCCAGCGGCGCCAGCCGCGGCCGAGTCGTCCACGACGATGACCTCCAGTCGCGACGCTGGATAGTCCTGCGCCGCGATTGAGGCCAACGCGTGTGGCAGGAAGTGCCGCCTCTCGTGGCTGATCATGACCACCGAAACAGACGGCCAGGACTCGGGTGAACCGTCCACCGCCCAGTCGCCGACCGGCGCAGCGGGTGCCAGCGGCAGCCGGAGCGGTGAGACCTCGGCGAATCTGGCCACGCTCCGAGAGGGCGAGAGCGTGGCGACTGAGGACAGAAGCATCGAGGTACAGCGGGTACCAGCGAGACCGGGGGGGGGGGGGGAGGAGCGAAAAGAATTCCACTTTCGCGAAAAGAAGCGAAAAGAAATTAAAACCCCCTCCTTGAAACCGTGTGGTGGCGGTGTGCCGCCCTCCCATCCCTGCGCTTGTGTTTTCTTTCTGTTCTTTTTGCAGAGACATTGTTCCGCTCACTCACTCGACTCCCCTCCACTCGGACCGACGGCGCGGCTCTCTCACTCACTCGCTCGCCACTCACTGCCCGCACCCACCCTCAATCCTCGTGTTGCCCGGGCGCGCGCTCATCAACCTCTCTCCCTGAGTGGTAACAGCCTCGTACCCAGAGTGGAAACAGCCGCCCCTGCGTCCTAGGGATCTCAGAGACTATGGAAAGTTCACACGTCATGACGGTTAGCCGCTGTCACACGACCTAGCCGCTGTCACGACAGCTGGGAGCTGTCATGACAGCAAACGACAGCGACAGTGACACCTACCTGTCACCAGCTGTCACCAGGCAGCTGTCACCAGCTGTCACCAGCTGTCACCAGCTGTCGTTGCTGCTGTCGTTGCTGCTGTCATTGCTGCTGAGTGCTGTCATTGCTGCTGTCATTGCTGCTGTCTCTCATGAGCACCCCCGCAGGACAGTGTCACAAATGGGATGTGGTGCCACTAACTAACACGAGAGGGTTCGAGCTCCCATGACGAAAACGGTACACGCACCTGGCGACTGCCTGAGAACGCTGGATCGAATCGAGGAGGCACCTAAAGCAAAATCGAGCCCGCTTCAGGTGAGAAAAAAATAATATAGTAAGGGTCGGAGCCGGTTTCGAACTGGCGACCTTCACCGCTCGCGGAGAAGGGAGCCAGCCAGAGATCGGTCCATGTGAGAGGGGGGCCGTACGTGGCGGCCTATATAGCATAAAAATAAAAATAAATAAAAAAATAAAAAACAGGGGGAATTAGACACCACAGATACGCACATACCGACGCCCGAAGTGCCAAGAAGGACGTCATTAGTACGAAACCTCAGAAGGCCATGGGCGCCGAGAGAACATTCCCCCGAGAGCACAGAGAAAAAAGCAAAACCGAACCTCCTTCCCTGGTTCCCCCCGCCAAATGTCGCCGTTCTCGGGGCATGCTATCCTGTGTAAGCAGGGCAGGTGGGGGAGGGGGGCACTCCCCCTGGTCTGATACTGGGGTGTGACTGTCTCTAGCGTCGGAGGCAAGGGCGAAGCTAAGAATATTTATTTTTTTAACTAACACGAGAGAGACAGGACACTCAAGATATACACGCACGCGCGCGCGACCGCTCACTCGCACGCCCGACGCCACATGAGAAACCCTCTCAACAGTAGCCACGCACCGTCAGCAGCAGCGGGCGTGAGTCACAGAATCTGCAAAACCCTTGCCCTCCTTCCTCCAGCATGTGCCGTGATGGGCTCCAGCGCTGGTTCATCTGCCGCTCAAAAATCTCACGCGAGCGAACGGCGTCAATCATCAACCGCGAGGATTGGGAGACCTTGAAATCCACGATCGCAAGCAAACGCGCAGAGCATTGAGCAACCTGAGGGAGGGTGTAGAGGATGTAGAGTGTAGAGCGCTGTAGAGCTGTAGAGCTGGAGAGCGCTGTAGAGCTCTTGTAGAGCTGTAGAGCTCTCTACATCCGGCGCGTGACGATGTGAGTCCGATGTAGAGCGATGTAGAGGCGCTCTACAACGTGAAATCTCTACAACAAAGGAAGGGAAGGGCGGAGGGAGGGGGGGGGGGGGAGAGAGAATGGATGGGGAGTGGGCGGCCGGTGCAGGTGGTGCAGGCGACGGCGACTGCGATGGTGCGCGCATGGGGGGGGGGCCAATGAATGCGGCCTCGCGCGATGGATCAATGATGCGCTGCCAGTTCGGCAGCGGCCTCGAAAAAAAATGGACCTGCCATCGCCAACGCTGCGGGGGCTCGTGCCGCGGCGATGCGCTGTCGTTGGCTTTGGTGGTAAATGTCTACCAGGCAGCATGCTTTACATGATGGATGGGTCCTATCCGCAACCTCCATTCGTTTCGGCTTCGACCACTTAATCTGGTCCAGGTCGAGGGGGGGCGGACCTGGTCGCGACTGACGTGCCCGCTTCACGTGGGGTTCCCAATGCAATCGGACGCACTCCAAGCCGCCGCATCGAGACTCAAAGCCACCGACACGATCGTCACCCACCGTGACGGCAGCCGCACGCTGGAGCGGCAGGGAAACCAGGTTGGCACGTTGCCACCTCCCGATGTGCTGCCGCCCGCCCTTCAGGAGCGCAAGCGGATGTGCATCGCACCGCCGGAGCCTCCCTCGTGGACGCTGCCTCCGTTTGCCACGTTCCAGCTGCCGCCGCCAGCGGGCGCCAGCCTGCGAGTCGTAACGTGGAACGTGTGGTTTGGCCCCGTCGAGGCGCAGGCTCGCATGGCGGCGCTCTTCTCCGAGGCTCTCGGCACCACGCCCGACGTGATCTGTTTGCAAGAGGTGGTGCCCGATCTTGCGGCGTCGATCCGCGGCTGCAGCGCCCTGCGCCGCGCGTATGCCATCTCCGCAAACGACGTCGGCTCCTACGGCTGCCTCATACTCGCCCGCCACGAGCTGTCGCCGAGATTCACGGAGGTGCCCTACCAATGCTCACGAATGGGGCGGTCGCTGCTCGTCGCCGAGCTCTCGCCGCCGGCGGATCCCGCGCCGCCCGCCGCCTGCCGCGTTGCGGTGGCCACGACCCACCTCGAGAGCCTCAACAACGCGCGGCTTCGCGCCAAGCAGCTTCGCATCGCGCGCGACACGCTCGCGAGCTACGACTCGGCTGCGCTTGTCGGCGACTTCAACTTCGACTCGAGTCAGAACTTTGGCGACTGGCTGCCGCGCGGAGACCGGCGCACGATGCCGCCGCGGCCGGAGCGAGAGTCGTCCGACTCCGACAGCGAGCCTCGCCCGCCGTGGGCACCCCCTTCCGCGCTCCGCCGCGCCGAGCTCGAAAACGGCGTGCTCGATCTCGTGATGGGAGATTACATCGACGCGTGGCCCGCGCTGCGCCCGCACGAGGCGGGGCACACCTTCGACGGCGGCAGCAATCCGCACGTGGCGGATGTGGAGGAGCGGATGCGGTACGACCGCGTGATGGTGCGCGGCATCGCGCCCGCCGCCATCACCATGCTGGGCGAGAGGCCCCAAGAGGCGCTCGTGCCCTCGGATCATTACAGTGCGTGCTCTTGCCTTAGAAATCGGTGTTTAGAAATTGGCTGCTGGAAATTTGGCTGATTTCCCTGGCCGAAATAGAAATCGGCTGCTGGCACGAGGCCGGCCCGATTTCTCTACTCTGCCGCGCCGCAGGCGCGAAGAAATTTTTAGAAATCATACGACTTTTTAGAGAGAGGTCGTTCTTTCACTTTCTTCTCAGTCTACAGTCATGGTGAAACGCAATTTACACCCTCTCTATAGTGTGAACAGTGTGAGTCTTGGGCCCGGGGTTGTGTCTTTGCGTGAACAGTGACGCAACACGTCAAGTCCCTCATGCTCAGCTCTCTGGCGCCGGCTCCCCACCAGACATAAATCGTCCCCCACCAGACATCGAAGTCAAATGTCAAAGACACCTCTAGGGACTGGCAAAGTGGGCTGCCACACCCACAAAGATGCAGAAAAAGGGGACACCGGCGTGACGTGGCCTCTCGACGGGTTTGTTGAAGCAGAACTTGGTTCGGCGCACGAGCGAGCACGCACACACGAAATGAATGAATGTTTGCCGCGTGGGTACAGACGCAATTTAGTGGGTTCAGGGACGGTTAAGCGGGAGGATTGAATTCGTATCTCAGGGCAACCTTTTAGTGTACTAGTATCAAGACCGTATAGTGACCGGCGCGCAGCGCCGAAGAAAATTTTGGCAGAAATCGCTTATAGAAATCGGCTGCTGGCTCGCCCGATTTCCCTCGCCGAAACAGAAATCGGCTGCTGGATGCCGACGCCCCGATTTCTATCGCCACGCCTCGCACTGTACGGGCTGTGCGCAGAGCTGCGGCTGCGGCCGGAGTGAGAGCGTACCCTCTTTTGCAACTGACATTCGTGAGGCCAGGTCGTGTTACGCTTACGGCTTGTGTACTCTACTAAATCCAAAAAACTAAAAAGCCCCCCGCGCCCCCCCCCTCCCCATCCTATCCATCAATCCATGTCCATCCGTCTGCCGGACCAAGTGAACCGCCGTTCCTCTCTCGTCTCAATCCGATCGCATATGGGGACGAGGACGGTAGAGGAGAATCATAAGTCGGTTACTTCCCCCAGGATTGGTCTTCTCTGCCTGCGGGAACACCCTCGGGCGGCCGGGTGGGGCTGCGGCTGGAGCTAGCATGGCTCGATAGAGCCGAGACCCCGTGTTGAGGCGGCGCTCCTGTGGGCGGCTGTGGAATCGGCAGATTCGACCTCAGATCTCCAGTATTCTCATCCCAGTGGATGGACGTCCGGACGTCCCTTTGTGTTCCTCTCCCCGTCCGCCAGCGAGACGCTCAGTCGCTGGCGGCCGCAGTTTTCTGTGACCCACCCACCTCTCCCTTGTGTTTTGTCTGGGGAGGGGTTTCTCCTGCGGAGTCGTGCGTGCGCAGGGCTCCTCTTTGCTTTCTTCTACTCCCCAGGGGTTTCTCCTGCGGAGTCGTGCGTGCGCAGGGCTCCTCTTTGCTTTCTTCTACTCCCTACTATCATCTCGTTCCCGTCCTACCAGAGAACGGCGGTAGCCAAACTCCGCGTGAGGCAAAGCGCAAACCCAGTCCTGAGCCAAACGGGATGGCGTCCTGAGCCAAACGGCACGCGGCCGCGAGGCCCATTCAACGTGTTTCTGGGCGGCGCCGGCCATCGAGATCAACGAGGTCGACTAGCGCGAGGCCGCCCAGCTGCACTTGACCGTGTTCGTGGGCCTGCTGAGGGCTGCAGTGTGCCGTGCTGCTTGCGTCAAGGCACAACGGCATGGCAAGGCAGCAGCCGGCGCAACCGCGCTCGAGAGCGCTGGCTCAGCGCGCCCAATCATCATTTTCTGTTGCCCTGCACGCCCTACCGGCGCAGCCGTAGTCCCAGCTTCGGCAGGCCGTGCTGCTCTCAGCTGCAGCCCGATCATGCCGATGTCTTGATGACGCCAGCGCTGAAGTGGACTGATAGCGAGGTGGGGCGGCATTTCTGAGTGGGCCGTCACGGGCTTTTTAGAGAGTTAATAAAAAGGCGCATTTCGGCTTCCGTGACTGTCCCGCGAGGCGATGCTGCCACTGCCGAGATCTTCCGGCCAGCAGTTGGCAGGACCCGGAGAGTCTTGGCACTGAAGTGGATCGATATCGAGGTAAGGCGGCATTTTTGTGATATGGGCTTGAGTCACTTGAGCACAGGATAGGGTGAGTCGGGTCTAGATAGGGCCCCATGTATGGTCTCCCCCTCACATGGTGGAGTGTTCATCGGGGGGGGGTCATAACGAACACGGTACAGGATCGAGGTGCACGCTGCTGAGGGACCCCAGTGCGCCTTTTTATTAACTCTGTAAAAAGCCCGAGACGGCCCAATCAGAAATGCCGTCCCATCTCGCTATCAGTCCACTTCAGCGTTGGCGTTTGCAAAACGTGTGAGACCGCGTACAAACGCTGCTGTGCATCAAGCGCTGAGAGCTACATCCACGCGCACCGGTGTCTTATTTTAGACAGGGCTCCAGGCCCCAAATTACGTGTGAGTGTTAGAGTTGTTTGTTATTTTAGTCCATGGGTGGGGTGTATGTAATACACAGATGGGTGGGTGGGCGGTTGGGCCCCTTCGCTGGTGCCTGTCACTAGGGCTATGGCTGCCTCACTGTGGCGCTGGCTGGCGCTGCCTCGCTGTCGCTGTCGCTGTCGCTGTCGCTGTCGCTGTCGCTGTCACTCGCAGGGTCCCGCGCTGACATACCGTAGGGTACCGAACTTAAGGTAAGGTAGCTTGAGTTAGGTTAGGTGCTTTGCACTGAGTTAGGTACGGGGTAGCGAGCAGTTAGGTACTGGGATTTCTTTTGGGGTACCCGAGGCGGGCCCCCTCGGCCCTCGCTGGTACGGCGAGTGAGGAGGAGGAGGGGGGGGGGTG